ATTTAATTATATAGGTAATTTTAAAGTATTTAAAATACCAATAAATAAAGAAATTTTAGAAAATAATGTAATTAAATATAATCAATTTAAATAAATGTATAAATAGGTTGGAAATCCATTGACCACCCAAGAAGGTTTCAAATAAAACAATTAGCATATTAATTATTTAAATAATAGTTAAATAGTAGGAACAATAAAATATTAGATAAATAATCCAAAAAAATAATATTTTTGGTTACTGAAAGTAATTTTGAATGAAAGTATATATTTTTCTAAAAAATACAAGGTATTCTACGTCAAAATTGGATTTAAAATAAAATTAAGGTAAATTATCGAAGTTTAAAGTATTTAAAAGGTGATTTTAAAATAATTTAAAATAATTACCATTTAAAATAATTATTAAATTAGGTTAAAATAAATATTAAAATTTTTATATTAGAATAAATTAATAAAAAAAAAATTGTAATTTGGAAAGTAATATATTTTTTAATTATTTATAATTAAGCATATTTAGTAGATTGTTAATTAAAAAAAATTAAAATAAAGAAAAAGAATCATTAATTTGAATTAAATAATAAAAAAATATTTTCTGTTTTTAAAAATAATTTCAAAAGATTAATGATTAGGTAATTATACTAAAATACATTTTTTATCTTATTTATTAATAATTAAATAATAAGTATTTATATAGTTACAATTTAATATAGTAATAAGATTACATTTAATTATTAATTAATTAATTTAAAATTAAAATGAAAAAACTAAGTTTTTTATTTTCAATGAATAAAATATATTTTAAATAATAAAATAAAATAATAATAATACAATAGTAATAATAAAAAATAATATATAATAAGTTGATATACTAAAAGGTTAAATAATAATAAACATAATATAAATTTTAAAATATAATTTTTCTATTTTTATTATTTTATATTATATTAACTTAAAAATAATTTATTAAAATAGTATTACTTAATATTAATTCTATAATAATACACATAGTAAATATTTAAAATATTAAATATTAAAAATTAAATTTTAAATTAAAATAATTTAGTATTCTCTAATATATTATTAAAAAAAGTAAAATTTTATTAAATATTTAATTATTTTAAGATTAATATTTAATTTAAAATAAATAATACTTAATATTTAAACTAGTTTAATGAATAATTAAAATTTAAAACTAATTTATAATTTTAAGTTAAAGATAATAAATTTCTATAAATTTTGATAAAAAATATGTGATTTTTTTAGGTTTTAAAATAATTTCAAATGATTAACTTAATAATTTTGTGTTAAAAAAGGATTGAAATTAATTTAAAACTAATTATTATTTAATAACGGCGATGGGCACATGTGGCGGACCTTGATTAGGCTCCGGGATTGCGAACGTGATTTTGGCAATCAATTCTAACGATTGCGCCACCGCGTAATTATTGGCAATGATTACCACGGCGCTGAAATCGACGTTGCCACTTAAACACGTCGGACGCATCCGCGACACCGTTCGATTGCCCGCAATTTAGGGTGGACGACCTAAATCTCGTCAGATGGCGAGTGGGACCGCGGGATCAAGATCTGCGGTCGATCTAGACTACGGAACAACCAGATTGTGGTCGTTGATCGAAGGATCAACAGTCTCGATCACTCCTTAGCATACGCTGGCGTAACCCAAACCCTAGAAACATATTTCACTTCGATCTCTCGATTCGATAGACCAAATTGAATAAAATTTTAAACCAAGATACAAGACATGAAGCATTCATCGGGTATAAAAACTATGCTCTAAATCGCAATATGTAGAAAGTTTTTTAGTCCTTCGTGTTGTGACCTAGGTCTAGGATTTTTGAGAGATTTTACTGTTGGATGTTCAAATTCTCGACACGGTTGAGCTTGTTGATTGTTCTCGTACATTTCCTTAGTTGAAATTTAGGCTTTATACGCCTTGGATCAATGGCAAATCGTCATGGGAGGATTTTGACTCAAGTTCACTAGAATCCCATCACCGATAAAGTTTGAACGGAGGGAAATGACTTGGGAATATGGGAGGTTGTCAAAAGAGATATCACACCAAAGGACTCGGGCTGAGAGGGCTTAGGGAGAGAGAAAAAGTAAAAAGTCCTAAAAAAGTAGCCCTAATTAAGGTCAGTTTGACCAAGTCAACTCCTTTGACATAAAATTTGGAGAAAAATAAGGTCAACACTCAACAGTGCCCTAATAATCTTGGAGACTTCAATATCAAAAATATATATAGATATCTGTCTACCTCTTAAGATCTGACAACATGAACTATGTTATGTGCCTCACCTATCATATATAAGCCATCAAAGTATCAAATTGTGAAACTGTATCTGAACCAACTGTCGGCGAAGAATTATATACAGGAGCTACCTGATTAGCACTCTGAAACATATGTAGGTTTGAACGAAGGGAAATGACTTGGGAATATGGGATGATGTCAGAAGAGATCTCACAACGGTGTTAGAAAATGTCGTCGTGATACTGAAGCCATTGTTTGTACATTAATTCTAAATTTGACATGCAGTGCTGCGACATTGAGCGGTGGTGTTGCGGCGCTACAAACTAAAAATTATTTTTATATAATATTTTTTCCACTCACCGTCCTTCATTTCCCTAGCCAGCATCGGCTTGCCAAGAAAGGGAGAAAAGAAGGGGAGAGGGATCGGAGGAGAGAAAGGAAAATCTAAATTTTGATCTTCAGATCACTTTACTGCTTTTGGAATAATTATTCAGATCGAGATAGATGATTCTAATCATATCTCTGTTTAAAAAAAAAATTATTTTGATTGTTGAATTCCCCTAAAAACTAATTTTATTGTATTTATCCCGGCTTTATTAAACTTTTATAGCACAACTTTTTATATGTTATTATACTTATTATCCTAAACATTTTTATTGCAATACTTATGCATTTCACTAGTTAAAATAGAAGTTATTGAATTTTAAATGATTTATATTATATAAAAATTGGATATTATTACTATAAGCATATTGTTAATATGAACATTGAAAATGACAATGAAAATGGGTATGTGATTGGGTAATAACTAATCACTATTACTATTATAATAATGTGATAATAATATATGTGATGATAAAGAAAAAATTGCTTCATTGACATTGGTTGGAGACTGACTAACTTGTATTGGATGATGGGCCAATGAGTTCCATTAAGTAGTGACGGTTGGGAGGCGGAGGTTTAATGACGGCAATCAGTCGACAAAAGGTCCAACAACTGTGATCGGGCAGAAGTCCAATGTCAGAGGTTAGCTGGCAGGAGTTCATTGGCAGTGGTACTTGGGTGGAGTTTCAAAAATTTTCAAGCCACTAAGGTCTCTTCAATATCTAGCCAAGGTCCTCTTCATGTAGAGTATTGGAGCATATTTATAAATTTTGGAAGTGACCAGACTAGTAGAATAACAATAATATCAAACATTTATCTCACTACATGAGGTCAGCTACAAGAATCCTTTTTTCTCTATTGTGTTATGCTAACAATCAAAATTTTATTTAAATATAATAAAAAATATCATTTCTATTATTTTCTAATCAAATCTTTTTAGGTCTACCTCTACCTTTCTTAATATAGAGAAAATTTAATACATATACTCTCCTAATCAGATTCTTTTTTTTTTGTTTTTTTTTGGGAAATTTTGGGGCAAAGCCCTTTCATAAATCATAAAAACTTACAAGTAAAACTATAACTCCAAAACTCAGAGCAAAAAGGAGTAGAGGAGTTCTAAAAAACTGGAAAATACATGATAGTAAAGAGAAAACAAAAGTGGCTTAAAAGCCAAAAGGACTCAGGCTGTTCTGCCAATTCACGAAAAGGGTCCATTCTCGATAGGGTCTGGTCAGAACAAGAACCCCTGGTTGCCTCTTTTTCAATCACACAACATGCCTGATGCATTCCTTTCACTTCAACCATCCAACTTTAATTTTACTAATAATATCATCATTTATTTTACCATCACTTTTAAAAGCCTGTCGACGATTCTTGACCGTCTTTAGATAGCTCTTCTCTGAGTTTCATCCCCCCTCGGTCCCTATTATTACCTTGCAGTAGCTTTTTTTAAGCTTATTCCTTCATGAATAAGAACGAATTTCTCGAGACTTAAAATAATAGTCATTCTCTGCTTCATGCGTACAATTTTTTTTTTTATTTAATACATTACGCACCCTCAAACTCCGTATAAAGAAAAAAAATAAGAAAATGCTGACGAATCAGCTGCCGACCGACACCTTCCCTCCGTACCCCCTCAACACCCAACGGGTCACCCGCCGTGAAACCCGGCCCACCCGAATACAGGAGTGGACTACCCTACGCTACGCATCGCCCCCCTCCTAACTCCATCCCACGTCACCATAACCTGCGCCGCTTCGAACCCCATAAAATCACCACCCGCCGCACGATCCACCACTTGTCCCCAAACCGACGGCCACGATAGCCTCATCATTTCCCGCACGTGCCTAAATATTTGTTGAAGGTTGGACGCCAAATGCTCACCTCCCAAGGCTCTTCATACATATCCATGGAAAGGGTGCAGGTGGGGCCCACATCCACTTTCCGCGAAACAACGCGCAAAAAAAAAAATCAAAATCCACGTGTTGGTGCCTCGCGGTCCACCGAAGTCGGCTAATGTCATCCCTGTTCCAAGTCCGGCTATCCTCGTGGCGGGCGCCAAAGCCCGGAGCGGCGGGTTGGGCCGCTTTGCGGGCCCCGCGATGGCGAAATAGAGCCCAATCCAAAAATCTTGACGTAAGCCGTGACACAAGCGTAGTTACGAGCTTATCGCTAAGCGGCACGCAGCACCAGTTATTTGTTGCCACGTGGCCCTTGCAACCCTTGTACACCCGAAGCGTGCGGTCATGCCCACGTGTGCTTCTGGAAGTCACCGTCCCCCGGTAACACGTGTCCGTTTTACCATCGGATGACGAGCCTATAAATCGTGCGCCGCGCTTAGGTTCGAAGTTTCAAGCTTCTAGTCTTCTTATAGAAAAGAGATTAGAGATAAGGTCGAAGAATAAAGGCGGGCGAGGGTTTTCTAACGTAAAGAGGGCCGAAAAGGAGTCGAAAATGAACGCCGGAGATCTGCAGCTGCCGCCGGGATTCCGCTTCCACCCGACCGACGATGAGCTCGTGGTGCACTATCTTTGCCGGAAGTGTGCTGGACTGCCGATTGCTGTGCCGATCATCGCTGATCTTGATCTCTACAAGTTCGACCCATGGCAGCTCCCAGGCAAGCTTTCAATTCTCCGCCTAGCTTGTTTCAGCTTAAGTTTGGCTCGCTTCCATTTGTTCGATGAAATTTTACTTATTGGTTTCGAGTACTTTTCTGATTGGATTCAATCATCTGGGTTGTAAAAATTTCGACCCTATTTAACAAACTTCGATTGTAAAAATTTCAGGCAATTTAGACCGGTTTAGGTCGAACTAGATAATTGATTGATTTCATTTTAATAAAGAAATAAAATCAAAGCCAATATTTCAATCTTCTGTGATTTGGAATTCGGGAAACTGACAGGTTTTTACACAATTTTGTTGATATTGGGCAGGAATGGCGCCATACGGAGAAAAGGAATGGTACTTCTTCTCCCCACGCGAACGTAAGTATCCGAACGGGTCGAGGCCGAACAGGGCAGCCGGTTCAGGGTACTGGAAAGCGACCGGAGCGGATAAGCCAATCGGTACCCCCAAGCCGGTAGCGATCAAGAAGGCGCTCGTGTTCTACGCCGGCAAGGCCCCTAAGGGAGAGAAGTCCAATTGGATAATGCACGAGTACAGGCTCGCCGACGTCGACCGCTCCGCCCGCAGGAAAAATAGCCTTCGGGTGAGTTCCTCCGCATAAAGTTGATTCCGGTCGTGCCTGTGTTCATGGCTGCATGCACAGGTTCCGATCTGCTTTCAGTGTGAACGGAATCAGATTCCATTACCTCCGTGTCTTTATCCCAATCAGACGCGGAAAACGAAGGACTTAATAAAATAAAATTTCTACGCACATATTTTAATTAGAGTTTGCTGACGAGTAATATTTTGCCGCGTGTATTTTACAGCTGGACGATTGGGTTCTGTGCCGCATATACAACAAAAAGGGCGGCGCAATAGCTAAGCATGCGGCGTCGGACAGGAAGTCCTCGATGGCGAGGATTTTCCGGCAGCCGGCGACGCCGGAGACTCCAGAGCAGAAGCCAAATATCTTGCCCCAGACGTCGGCGCCACCGCCGCAGCAGTATACGGACCTGTTATACTTCGATACGTCTGAATCGCTTCCCAGGCTTCATGCGGATTCGAGCTGCTCGGAGCACGTGCTGTCCCCGGACTTCACGTGCGAGCGAGAGGTGCAAAGCCAGCCCAAGTGGGGGGAGATAGAGAGAGCCCTCGGACTTGGAATTAATAACATCGACGCCACTGCCGGCGCCGGCGCCGGCGCAGGCGGGTTTTCCATGGACGACGGGATGTTCTCGCCGTTGTTGCGGGGGAACTCGTTTCAGGATCTGATGATGTATCTACAGAAGCCATTCTAGGAGCCCGCACGTGAGAAGTGGGTTTAGACAAGTGAGCCGCGGTTTAGGCCGCGGTCCGGTCCGGTTCGGGGTTTACTCAGTCGAGCCACCGTGGGTTGGATGGTGGGGTTCGTGTGGTGGCGATGAGACCGAGTGGATCCGGCTTAAGGTCTACGCGGAGTTGGGGTTGGTCTGGTTTAAGCTTTATGTTTATATATTGCCTAAATTTTGTGTAGCTAAAGGTTTAAGTTAGAAATCATATTACTAGATTTTGTCTGAAATGAATTGAAATTAAGTTCTATAATAAATTTTGGCTGATGGAAATTTACAAAAGCTGTAATTTTATACCTTATTGTGCATTCAAAAATTACTAGATTTTGTCTCGCATCAATTTTTTTTTTTTTGCTTTCCTTAAAGCTGCTTAATCAGATTTTTTGTAAATTTTTTTCTTAAGTTTGATTTAATAAGTTTTAAGTATGATAATAGGAATTGATAATAGTCTATTAATAAATGAATATCACATCATGCTCATCTGTTGATTTGGGGCTTCTAACGATACGTCGTTTTAAAACCTCCGTGAAGAAATGATTTTCCTTCAAGAAAATTCTCATCCGTTGGAGTAAGAGAAAGTATAGCTACTCGAACTGTCATGAATTTCCAAACTTTATGAATCAATTGCCTAAACTCAATTGAACAATTATTACGTCCTCCGACCGGACCTAGAGGAACGTCCGGTCGGAGGCCAAATCGCGCCAAAAAATGAGAAATACCGAACAAATGCCGAGCAATACCAAAAAATAACGAGGAATATCATCACGTGAAGACCAAATACCGAGCTATACCGAGTTTTTCCTAGGAAAAATTCGGTATTGCTCGGTATAGCTCGGTATAACTCGGTATTGGTCTTCACAGAGCGGTATTCCTCGTTATTATCAAATAATACCTAGCAATACCGAGCAAATACCGAGTTTTTTCGCGGGATTTTACCTCCGACCGGACCTTCCTCTACATCCTTACACCGAACCTAATAAAAGTTCCAAAAACGGAGTGGATCTTAGCCTACTTGGGCTCAACCTTACTACCCTGTGGGAAAGGTTTCTCACCACCCAATAGACTTATGTTTTGTTTGGGACAGCTTTTTTACTGTTTTTTGAAACAATTTTTTAGTACAAGAATTTTATAAAATAGTAAAAAAGTCGCTCCAAACAAACCCTTGGACTTTGGCTAATATGGGAAAGGGTCGGACGCTGCTATTACGGCCCCGCCTCACTTTAGAACCGCCATTAAGAAATGATTTTCCTCAAAGAAATTTCTTTACACCATTTTCTCAGCAGATTAATTAAACTAGTAGAAATCTACATGCTTCTTATCCATCTGCTAAGCATGAAAAGTCTCAGTAGAATGCTAGTATTTCAATCCAAATAATAAGCATGATAACAATATCAATCAATTTTGTTCAGGCATGACGTAACAATGTGCAAGGAAACAATCAAAAAGAGGGAACTTTGACAAATGAACAGAAGAATTCCACAGCAAATTGATATTTTAGGACTCACAATCACTCCGATTCCCTCTGCAGCATTGCTCGTCACTGTCCTAAATGTTGAATATATTCTCAATGTATTTCAGATATTACTTAGTATCTCCTTTCTTTCTTTTATTTTTTAATTTGCTTATCAATTTTATGACAGCCATCTCTAGTGCCGCTAAAGTTTCGAAGAGAATTCTATTTTATTCGTATAGAACGACATCAGCACATAAAATGAAAACTAAGTAGAAGTTCTGCAATCCGATATTGAATTCCAATTTTATACAAAGCTGATCACAGTGGCAGAAAAAAATTGGGATGGAGGTATAAAAACTCATTTTTAAATATTTTTTTTTTTTGGACATTTAGGTCATTTAAGGTAAACTTATGCACACAACGTATACACAAAGACTCGAACCCAAGATCTCTTAGTTGAAAGTCTAAGCTCTCAACCAATAGACCAAGGTGAGCTGTGTATCATTTTTAAAACCAAACTCAGGGTTTGCTTAGGACAGCTTTTTTGATGCTTTGTTTTTCAGATATTATTTCTTAACTAGAAATCGTAACCACCTCCCCCGACGGCATCGGCTCTCCATTGCACTTTCCTCCCCTCACCGCCAGCATCGGGATGGCAGAATTCCGCATCGGGATGGGTGGATTCGATGTAGAGATGGTGGCTTCGGCATCGGGTATCATCACGAGATATACGAAGACGAACTTGCGGTATCAATCGGCTAGGGTACGACACGAAAGGAGTAGATAATTTATGAGTGGCCGTGCTTAGCCGGCGGTTTGCAAACCGCTGCTACAAAATATTCGACTAACATCAATTTTTTTAATGTGAATTTAGCAGCGATTAAAACCGCTGTCTATATCTATTTATAATGGCGGTTTTAAAACCGCTGCTACAAAATGCTGCAATAATATTAACATTTTGGTAGTGCTTTTACCAGTTGCTTTCTTATTATTATTTTTTTAATTGTGATAGAAAGCTATTTTTTGCAATCATGGTAGAAAAATTATTTTCTCCACAACAACTTCACAATCAACTTTATAAAATACTGCACTCGCCCCAAACAAACCCTCAGTCAACCATTTCAAGATGAAAGAGCTAAGCCATGCGTTGATTGCTGTTTTTAGAGAGGAGTTGTATTCTAGGTTCCTAGCTGCGCCTAGATGTGGGAGAGCCGATCCACCTCTCCAATACTAGATCACTTGTATCTTGTGGTGTTCTAGCATCAATTTCCAGTGTTTATTTCGACAATATAATTTCAGATTTCAATTCTCATCTCCTATAAATCTATTCATTATTTTCTCCCTGTTTTTAACCCTTCAAGGTGTAACACCCCTTAGGTAAGACCAAACCTAGCTTTTTGGATTGTTTAGGGGATGTCCAAGCTTAGCATCATATTCAGGCCAGGCTTAATGTTTATGGTTGATCTTCCTCATTATAGCTCAATTCAACCGGTGTAATCCTAGACAAATATGCTTAGTTACATCATTTGTTGATTACAAGAACTAAACTTGATCACGCTCGCTACTTAAACCTTGAACTCTCCACAATAATCATCTAGCTTGTCCTTGAACGATCTGAATAGTCATTTCTTTGTAGAGAGTACCCAAACTCACTACCCTCAAAACAAGATATTTTTTTTGATGCTAAGAAAATAAAATAATTCATATATCATGGTCATGAAGTAGGTCAATCAGAATAAAGAGTAAGCTTGATTTTCAATGAGATCGCTCCTCCATGATACTGAGTAAGCTTGACCTTAAATGAGATCTCTCATTATTTCAACCAAATCAAATACTTTCATTTCACTTTGATACTCTTCCAAACAACTACATTGCCCAAAGTATTAAATTCTTTGATGCATTTCAGTACAAATCAAGTACTTTAATTTCTTTACCAAGAGTACCAAAAATCGTTACTCTCAAAACAAGATGTTTTTATCAAAACATGCTAAAAAAATCCATATATCATGTTCCATAAGTAGGTCAATCAGAATAAAAAGAGTAAACTTGATCTTCAATTAAATCGACCCTCGCTGACAGGGGCGAAACCAACAACTTTGTTTTTAAGAGTGGGCAAACTCATTAAATGAATAATGAAATACAAAAAATTAAACAATTAACAACTAGAGTCAACATGATAATATATTCTTTTTATTATTATCAACCTTGCTTAGCCACAAAGCTGAATGACTCTATTCTTGACGCTTTATTAAATCCTCTTATGTTTGTCTTGCCTTGTTATATACACTATTATGCTCTGAAACATGATCTAAAAGTTTTTCTTTCCTCTTTCAATTTTTAAACTCTTCACCAATAAATGATTCTCAACCATCTTATCGTGTGATAATTTGCTCTTGAGACTTAAATAAATAACAATAAAAATAAAATACAACATCTATTTGCATATTGTATTCTAAATAATTAGGACTGTACATCTATTACTTGTGTAGGTACCTTATCATAGGTATCTTACAGGTTACGTTCAGATCGCATAGAAGGAGAACTCACTCTGGACAGTTAGATCGAGGAACTCGCTCAGGAGCTGGGAATAAACTTATCAATGGAGCACGACAGACATACTCCAAGAGCTTCCTTCATACAGTCGCCCAGCCCAGCAGGGGCGACCTCAAAAGTTCCTCTCTCAATTAGACACGTCTTTGTTCATCTAAGTCAAAGTCAAATATTCTATGTGAGACTACCAAGAACCAAGCTAAAGGCACAACATCGCATCCACAAGACATATCTCGTGATCAAAGCATCACTAAGCTCAGCTATCAACAACAAATCATCACTTGCCCCCTCTCGCTCTAGCGGGGTGACACCAAACCGACTTCCTGTCATGCCGAATTGATCTCCAGACACCCACGAGTACATCTCACCCACATCATATCTCAAGATCGCCACACCACTCGCACATCCAGTCAAGCTGTATCAAAAACTAATTGTACAACTCCTGTACTTTATTTTAAAAAAAAAAAACTCCTGTACTTTATACATATTCTATTGTAACTCTCCAAACCTTATAAATAGGGGGAGGGGGACACAAGAAAAAGACCAGAATATCAACAGAAACACCAAAATAGAGAGATAAATTATAGAGAGATATTGTGCCAGCTTTTCCCTTTTAGCTTAAGCTCTACAAGATAGAGCCCTTGCTTTTCCTATTTTATAATTTTGGCTAGGATAATAAAAATTATATCCAAATCCATTATCTCTCTTTCCCTCTTTCTTTTTAATTTTATCATCCTCGCATACAGATCCTCAGCTCATAGGTAGATTCATAAAATACAGTCAGGCATTATCCACCAAACAAATTTGGATTCAACAAGGATATTCTTCAAACTTTTTTGAGTTAAATTTGCGTGCAATATTTCTTATTATTGTTTGGGGAAAATAATGATTTTTTTTTTGTTAATGGGATCCCTTCAGCAAATACACTCACCAATTTTATCCTTTTCATTTATATCATAACTCTAAAGTGACGGTTGAAGCCTAGGGTCATTAGAGAGATTGTTAACATTAATCTCTACATATTTTTTCCTCTTCAAATATCAATCAATTTATTAATGGATCCTAAAGAATACAAATAGTCCTAATATCAAAGTAAGCAATTGAGTCACAAAGAAATTCAATTTAAAGAGCATAGTTACATAATAATCATAAAATAATAATCAATACATGTATTGAATTAAAACTCTTGATATACCATTGCTATGTTCATAAAAATGTAACACATCAAAATGAGAGTGAAAGTTTGTTAGTAATTGATTGATAATTTAAGCAAACATGAACATATATGAAGATTGACAATGACATTGTAATACAAAAAAGTACATAACTAACCATGTGCAACAAGCATGCTAAAGGAATCACTATGCAATTAAATTTCACAAAATATACAACAATAACAAATTTACATGTAGCAAGAAATAATATATAAAAGTTTGTACTATGCACCTCAACTATATAAACAAACCTAAAATGATTTTGAGATCTTAATAAACCTAATTAAACCAATATTTCACAATTTTTTTTTTATTAATCTTTGTTAAATTCAAAGAATTGGAGAGAGAAAAAACTTAATTTTATTACTCAAATTTGTCCCTATTTATAGATCTATACAAGATATCTTAATAAAGAAATAAATAATTACAGAATCATGCATAATTGCTCTAATATTGTAAAACCCGCAAAAATGCCATTTAAGACATCGCATGATTTTCAAAGCACCGCGATGAGTTTTAAGTGAAAAATTCAAGGTTGTCGATTTTCGACGAAAATATTTTTATAAATTCTATGCAAAATTCTAAGAAATTTGATATATAAAACGTATAGCTAATTTCGCCTAGATTTGGAATTAAAATTTAGGGAAATCTCATAATACATATTCTATCCCTAGTGTTTATTTAAGCTTGAGATGTTTAAGTGAGGGCATATAGGTAATTATACATTTATGAGAGCATTTCCACTCTAAATAGGGGACCGAATGGTTCGGTCCCCATTTCTTCATTTTGGCCGAACCGAACACGAGAGGGAGAAGGGGGCGCAGGTAGGAGGCGAATCCGGCAAGTCTTGGAGCGGTTTCCGGCGGTCATTCGTGGAGGAAATCGTAGGGAAATCCAAGGGAAGTCTAAGGTAAGTGTTTTGCTTAGGTTTTCTCTTCTTTTCCATGAGTTTTCTCTTAGGAATGAGAGTTAGGGTTTTGAGAAAACTCATTATTTCCTTGAGATAAGTTTAGGGAAGGGTAATGTGATGTTTTAAAACCCTAATGTGAGTTTTTTTTATGAAAATGTGGATTTTATAAATTTAGGATTTTATCCGATTTTGATTTTCTATCAAAATACATTTGTAGAAAAGTTTCTAATTGAGGTTAGAAAGCCTTTTTGTGAAGATGGATTCTTTTTAGGAGATATTTTTGCATGCCCTAATAGTTAGGGTTTTCCAAAAATCATGAAAACCCTATGAGTGTGTTGTTTCCTTTTTAATTTAGGGAGATTTTTAAAACAAGAATTTTAGCTTTAGAATGATTCATTGTTTTCTAAATTTTAAATTAGAAAAATCCAATGAATTGTTGTTTGGTAACTTGAGTTTAAGGGGAAAGAGGAGGGTTGTATATTTGAGGTGAGCAAAGAATTGATTTAGGTTTTCCAAAAGCTAGAGTTAGGATGAAATCCTAATTCTAGTGAAAATAAAATGGAATTAGCATGGTTTAAGTGAGGGGTTTTATAGAAAAAATTAATGCTTGATGTGTTGAATAGTTACATGCTTAACCTAGGGTTTTTTTTTTAAGGTTTGAGAGAGAAAACTTATGTTTACATCTTGTGTTTGTCACTTGTAGAGTTTGATTTCATAAGAGGAAAAGGGACGTAAGGATTTTTGAAGGATCGCATTGTGGTGCACAAGTTGAGATAGGTGAAATGGACATTCTTGTAAATTTAGAAAACTCTTATTTCATGCTAATACATAGAAATGCCAATTTTTTCTTTTATGCTCGTTATGATATCCTCATGATTCATGTTTCCTTATATAAGTTCATGAACACGTGATGTAAATGTAAAGTCTTTTTTTATGCAAGGTTAGAATTTATAAATGAGTCTCATGCTCTTTTCTTTACTTGTACTACACATGTCTTTACTTTTCATGCAAATAATCATATGAGCATAGAAAGCATGCATATCCTTATGAAAACATACACTTGAATAGTTTATGAATAGTTTACTTAAATATCTCTTATGAATATGTAAGTATTAAGTGTATGTGCATGTTGCGCAGAAATATCAAATGGTAAAAGAGCTCTTTTGAGCAATGGAAAAGGAGGCTCTTATGAGCCAAATGGTAAATGAATGACCAAATTATGTGTCTGATCAATACAAGTGATACTTCTGAGATGGATGTTATATTTACATATTAAGATATTATGAACATTTCATATCCATGTTATATGCATTTGAGACTATCATTTGAGGCATAAATATTTTTAAAGGAAGAATGAAAAGATTATGAAAGGAATAAGAACTTGAAGGTTGAAGTATAAACATGCATCTTCTTAGACAAAATAATATAGTATGATGATTATTCTTTTACTATGATCTCAAAACATGTTATAGTTTTCTTTTCTTGATTCTAACTTTATTTGAATGCCATTTACACCTATTGAGTTGTGACTCACCCATGTTGTGGGACACTTTTTAGGAGGATTCAGTAAAGGATAGATGGCGGATAGACCTCCCATCACGTACCGTCGTAGGGAGACGATGGGCGAAGGTTTTGTTTTGTTATTTTGATTAGAAGGATTAGAGATGGAATGTAAGGAATTGATTTTTGGGCACCTTTCACTTTTTTGTAAACTTTATGTTAAATTATTATGTTGATGTGTTGAAAGGAAGAAATGAAAAATTTTACTTGAATATTCTTTAATGGCTCTTTCATTATGCTTTGAAGATGTCATTTTATTCAGCAATGTGAAGTTTTTATTCATTCCTACTGTCCGACCTTCGTTCCCACCTCGCACTTGCGAGCAAACTGGGCCGGGTCGTGACAAATATAATCCTTTCTAAATCAATCACCTAAATATGGAAATATATTGGCGCAATCCATGTGAGCTTCCCATCGATCCCCATTCTACCCATGGGATCAAAATGCTAAGGTACAGCTGGAATTTAACACTCTTCCTCAAACTGGGGAATACAAATATATCATTTCCAACTTGGTAATAAGTCCCATAAAGGTAGAGTTATCAAATCCCTTGATAAGAATATTTGCAAGCTGATCTTTTGACGAAATATGGTTAATACATATAAGACCACTATCTAGTTTCTCCTTTATGAAATATTTGTTCACTTTTATATGCTTTGTCTTGTCATACTGAACCGGATTGTGAGCTATAATGATTGCTGGTTTGTTGTTATAGTGTAGCTTCATGGGTCCTTCCCACTTTATCTTTATATCTTCTAGAATCATCCTGATCTATAGTAGCTCACATATTCCCAATGTCATAGCATTGTATTCTGTTTATGCACTAAACCTTGCCACTACATTCTATTTCTTGCTTCTCCATGTAACAAAATTTCCTCCTAGGAATGTGCAGTATCCTAAGGTAGATCGTCTATCTATTGGTGCTTCTGCGTAATTTGCATCAGTATATGTTTCAGGGATTATTCTACAATCTCTTTTGAAAAGAATCCCCTTACCTAGGTTCCCCTTAAGGAAGTGTAGTATTTTGTCTACAACTTGCATGTGAGTTTGTTTTGGATTTTGCATGAATTGGCTGACCGTGCTTACAGCAAATGCTATATCTGTTATGGTGTCAGAAAGGTAGATCAATTTCCCCATAAGTCTTTGATAAGCTCCCTTATCTATATTTAGATCTTCTTTAGCTTACCCCAATTTAAGATTTAGTTTTGCTGATATTAGTGCTGGTTTACAAGCTTACTTGCCCGTTTCTTTAAGAAGATCATTAATGTATTTTGTTATGAAATGAAGATTCTTCTGCTGGAGTGGGTCACTTCAATTCCAAGGAAATATTTTAATCTACCAAGATCTTTGATCTCAAATTCCTTGACAAGACATTTCCTTACAATCACTTTCTCATTTTCATCATTTCTAGTCAAGATTATATCATCAACATAAACTAATAAAATTGTGACTTCTCCTGAGTTTGAGTGCTTGAAAAATAATGTATGGTCGCCTTGGCTCTGCCAATCACCATTAAGTAGCATGACTTTTGAGAATCTTCCAAACTAAGTTCAAGGTGATTACTTTAGCCCATATAGAGTTTTTTTTAACATGCACACTTTGTCATCTCCAGATTACTATTTGAATCATGGTGGAATCTCCATAAATATTTCTTCCTCCAAGTCCCAATGTAGGAATGCATTTTTGACATTCAACTGTTCAAGATGCCAGTTGTAATTAGCTACTAGTGAGAACAGGATTCTCACAGTGTTCATCTTGACCACAAGTGCAAAAGTTTCCTGGTAGTTAATGTCGTACGTCTGAGTGTACCCTTTTGCCACCAGTGTTGCTTTATATCTTTCCAATGTACCATCAGCTTTATATTTCATACCCATTTGCATCTAATTGATTTTTTTTTACTGGTAGGTCGATGATCTCTCATGTATTATTCTTCTCCAGGGATTGCATTTCATCTTACATGGCACTTTCAATTTTCATCAGAAAAGGCTTCAGAAATATCATTAGGAATATGAATATCATTTAGTGTACACATAAAAGTTTTGTGTAAATGTGAAGCTATGGAAGGATACAAAGTTGGTTATGAGAAAGATTTTTTTGGTGAACTTCTATTTACCTCAATTTCAGGAGATAGTTCAGATTCTTGAATCAGCTTAGGAGCATATTTTGGATTTGTATGCTTAGAATACTCTTGCCCAAACATCATATTATCCATAATAGCTTTATCCTCAGTTTCGTTGGCATTGATTTTAGGTTTTGGTGGATTAGTTTGCAGTGGAGCTGGAAGGTCAAGAGGGGGAAGCTCACTTTTCTCATCTTCATTAGTTTGTCTCCCACTGAAAAAGAAATTTGGTGAAATAGGATTTTTGTTCATCAAAGATAACATCAACATATACAAGAGTTTTATTGATGGAGACATGATAATACTTATAACTTTTCTGGGTAGATGAATATCCAACAAAGATACATTTGTGTGCTCTTGGAAATATTTTTTCTCTATTTTGGTTGTGAATGTGAATATAGGCAATGCACCCAAAGATTATGGGTGTAAGGTTATTATGGGTTCAAAATTTGGAGAAAAAGAAGACAAAATATCCATAAGCATTTTAGTACCAAGGTGTTTGAAGATAGTCTATTTATGAGATATGTGACAGTTAGAAGAGCTCGCCCTAATAAGATTTGAGTACATTGTGGTGGAATAAAAGTACATGGGTATAGACTAAAAGCTGACAAATTTTTTGTTCTGCAATCCTATTTTGTTGTGGTGTGTAAATACGGGAAGACTCATGAATGATACATTCTTCTTGAAAGTATAAGGATAGGATTTAATTAAAGTAATCTTTAACATTATCAGAATGAACTTTTTTAATTTTTATCCCGAATTGGCTCTGGATCATAGTATGAAAAACGAGTAAGATAGTGCTAACATCGAATTTATATTTGAGGAGAAAAATCCAAGAGACTCGAGAGCAGTCATCAATGAAGGATACAAACCATTGAGCCCTTGAGATGTTAGCGATTTGTGAAGGTCTCCAGATATCACTATGAATAAGATAAAATGAAGTATTACATCTCTCATGTTTGTTTGGAAATAAATCTCGTTTATGCTTGACTAACTCACATATTTCACATTGACAATATTCATTTTTCAACTCATAAAATATTTTGGGTATATATTTATTAAGATATCAAAAGATGGATGTCCTAATCTAAAATGGTGACGCCAAATAGTAGATTTTTTATCACATAGGAACGACATAGAATATTCATTATTAATAATTTAGATTTGTTCAGCTCTTTCAAGTAGTACAATCCATCTCTTTCCTTAGCAAATACAATTTTCTTCCCTGACCCCTGGTTATGAAATAAGCAACAAGTATGGTTAAATAAGACTTAACAATTATGGTATTTGTAAGTTTTTATATGGAGATTAGGTTTGTGGATAATTAAGGTACGAGGAGCACATTTTTAGAGTGAAGGAAGGAGAAAGAATTTTCTTGGTCTGCTACTATGATAAAAGAACCATCAGTAATGATGATTTTCTTATCACTTGGGCAAAAGAGTATAGTTGATGAAGTGGGTAGTAAAGTGTGTCATGCGATATGTATGAGTCAATGATCTATAATCCTTTCAAATGATTTCTAGAGGAACTTAATCCAATGGATATATGAAACTTACCTGAAAGTGTAAGAAAAGAAGATGCATGTGATTTTTGAAGAGATACTAGGAGTCATTTTAGCTTATCAATATCTTCTTTATTGAGCTCTCTGAAGATGGACTGCATTTCTCGGTTGGGCTAACTTATTGTAGTGTTGGCTTATAATGTGCTCTTTTGTTTACTTTTTTTATTCCACTCTTTACTTGGAGGCTTTTCATGTATCTTCCAGCATGTCTCCTTCGTATATTGATTTCTTGCAATAGTTGCACCAAAGGAAGTCTTTATATTTTGATTGAGTAATCCTTATCTTTTTTCCTTCCATGGCGCCTCTTTGATTGACACCATATTTGAACTTTCAACTACCTTTGGCTCCAGCATTACCCCTCATCGGCTTCCTCAGCATGAATGAGAGAAATGGTCTCATTTAATAAAGGTGCCTCATCTTTGCCAAGGATCTGGACTCTTACATGATCAAACACCACATTTAATTCTACAAGAAATTCTCTCACTCTTATCTTTCTCAATAAAGTTTTTCAGGATGGCAACATATTCTAGACACTTGGTCTTTATGCATCTGTAGTGATCAAGTTCTTATCACAAGCTTTGAATGAGAGTGACATGTTCAGTCATGATCTTGCTTTCTTGTTATGTGCTTCTGACCCTGACTTTAATTTTGAAGATTTGTATAGCATCCTGAGCTTTTGAGAAGATTTGCTTGTCAGCATCCCATATGACTTTTGCAATAGATAGGAACATGAAAGTATCACTATTTTTTGGAGTTATGAAATTCCACAATCATGACATGATCATGGAGTTTGTGTTGTCATGTAATTAAATACAAAAAAAAAAGCTTAATTAATGTACATGTTCGGACGTCCAACCATGATTTTCACCATACCTATGCATGTCGACATCACATCCCACACGATTGACTCGTCATTAAATGAAAAAGCAAAGAGAGGTTCCGCCTCTTCTGCTAAAACTCGCGATCCGTCTCCTTTCCGCACGCTCCTTCGGCTCTTCTGTTGCTGTTTAACTTTGCTCTTCCGGTGATGTTCCCTTTATGTAGGATCAGGAGTTACAACTTTGATCGGAAGCAACAATGGGAGCTCGCATGCAGTGAACGTAACTTTCTCCATTCCAAGCACTTCTTCGACTCCTTCATGGTCATTCGACTTCGCACCTTCGATGACTTTCCCTTCCTGTGGGATTGGAAGTTACACATTTTAATCGGAAGGAGCGACGGGAGCTAGCTCACTGGTAACTTTCTCCCCGTCGAGCGCTTCTTCGGCCGAATCCCGTAAAGCCGACGAACCTCTCAGCCCTAATCCCTTCTTCACCTTCTTCGTTGCTGGTCGGCATCCTCCTTCGACGACTTTCCTTTCCTGTGGGATCGTAAGTTACAACATTGATCGGAAGCAAGGAAGTGAACTCCCTTGCTGTAAAGGTAACTTTCTCCCCTCTCCTGTGCTTCTTCGGCTAAATCCCGTGTATGTGCCGAACCAGAGAGGAGGGAGGGGTTTAACTAACTTTAATTAAGATTAATTTTAA